TTATTTTATTTTTCTATGTGGTGCTGAGAATCAAACCCAGTGCCTCACACATGCTAGACAAGTGCTCTTCCACTGAGCCACAACCCGAGCTCCCACATCAAGCCTTTTTCAATCAAAATTACTAACACAGTGGATGACACTCTGATCTATAGAAGAATAATTGATTAGTTGAGTGTTGAATCAAGAACACTAAATTTACAGCAGGAGCCAACATTTCTGTGATCAGATCTGGGGGAGTAAAGAGACAGGATCTTTTCTTAAAAAACATTTTTTAGTTGTAGTTGGACACAATACCTTTGTTTTATTTATTTTTAAGCGGTACTGAGGATCGAACCCAGCGCCTGGGCATGTGCTAGGTGAGCTACCGCTGAGCCATAACCCCAGCCCAAGAGAGACAAGATCTTAAGGGGGGAAAGCTGCCAGAGAAATTTGTGGGGACCTAGGATACTGCCCCAGCTGTTTTAACCTGTGCACATCTCTGGGGAAGTAAGAGGTGGTTAGCTCTAAAGCTAGAATTGTTGTGAGATAGCTGTCCCCGCTTTGGCTTGTGAATATTGCCCTCTATTGATTAGATCCACCTAACCTTGGGTCTCGAGTCCTGGAATGAGGAAGAAGCAGTGAATTGGCTATCACCTCCTGGAAGAGATACAAATTTAGGAGTAATGCCAGGAACTGGGAGCCCCAGTGCTTTCTAGAGACTTTTTAAGAGACGAGAGACCAGTTATCCATCTGGGAAACCATTTTCATGTATTTTAGAATCTTGGTATATTGAGTGAGATTAGGTCATTTGTTTGCTGAGCTTCTGTACTTGTTAAGTTTTCTTTCTCATTAGGAATGAGATATGTATTTAAATGGAACTATAAAAAATTCACGCATATCATGGAATTCCACAATCCAGATTCAGGTTAAAACACACCTGGAAAGATTCACTCACCCTCACTCTTATCACCCTCATCTGGCTGACCTCTGTTTTATGGTATTTCCTCTGATTGCACTAAAGAGTACCTGTTCTTATGTATTTGCTTATTACTTGTCTCCTTCACTAGAATGTAAGCTCCACAAGGGCAGGAGTACAGTATTATTTATTGCTATAACCATGGAGTGGGGAACTGTGCCTAGTTACACAGTTAATGTCGGTATTAGTTTCCTAAGGCTACCATAGCAAATAACTACTGTGTGTGTGTGTGTGTGTGTGTGTGTGTGTTTTAAAAAGCAGAACTTTATTCTCTCACAGTGCAGAAGGCCTGAAGCCCAGAAGGAGTCAGCCAGTTGGTTCCTTTGGATTCCCTGAGGGAGAAACTGTCTCATGCCTCTCCTGTAGTGTGTATTAATTTCTGGCATTTCTTGGCTTCTAGATGCATAACTGCACACTATGCCTCCATCTTCACATTGCCTTCTTGATATCTGTGTTCTTTTTTGCCTTATAAGGACATGGTCCTTGGATTTGGGGCCCATTTTGTTCTAGTATGATTTTATCATTCATGTGCAAAGACTATTTCCAAACAAGGAAGGTCACATTCTGAGAGTCTGGTGCACTGATCTTTTGAGGGAGTTGGGGTACTAACTCATTACATTGCTAAATAAATGTTTCTTAGATGAATGAATGAATTCACAGAGTAATTCTAGGCTGTAAACTCCTTGGACATTTCCATCATCTTAATAACTGTGCTACAGAGGTAGGGGTTAATTAATCTGTTGTCCCAGATTACTTGGGCTCCAATTATGGCTCTACCACTTCCTAGTTGTGAGGTCTTAGGCAAGTTATTTATATTCTGTAAGCTTAAGTTTCCTGTTCTGTAAAATGGTGACAGGAAGTAATGAAGAGTGTGCTTCACAATATGTTTTAGCTATTATGTATTTGCACTTTTTAAAAAAATATTTTAAATATTTATTGAATCTCCATAAGTTTTATGAGGTAGGCTAATTCTTATAATAGAGAACATTAAATTTGTTTCAAGAATTAGAAACAAACTATATGTCACTTGGTGAAGTGCTTGGCACATAGTGCTTTAAAAAGTCTTATAATGATGAATGTGTCTTAATGTCATAACTGTAAGATTTCTCTTGAAAAATGGACCCCAGGAGCTGGGCTGTAGCTCAGTGGTAGAGCGCCTGCCTCACGAGTGTGAGGCATTGGGTTCGATCCTCGGCACCGTATAAAAATAAATAAATAAAGATAGTGTCCATTACAACTAAAAAAAAGAAAAGAAAATTGGACCCCAAATCAGAAAAAAAATCTATTGCGCACTGAGGGAGGCATCTCACTTTTTTGTTTGTGTGGTCACTGTCTCTAAGGGTGCACTATCCCTGGGAGGACCAGGCAGGTGCTGACCAAAGGTAAGAACATTTAAGCAGTCAAATTGCAGTATGTGTCTCCAGTGTAGCGGTGAATGTATCAGACTGCTAAAAATAAAATTTCTTGGGAATTTCCTACAAGGCTGGTTCTTGTTACTTTCTTCCCAGTGACTATTAGAGTAGGGGATTGATATGCCAGAAATATTAGGAACAGCAAACAGAACATCTACACAAGTTACTTTATCATATGATGAATGTTTCACTGGACAAGAAAATATTATGGTAGTTGTGGGTATGTCTTCCCTTTAGTGTTTAATGTGTTTTTTTCCTTCAAAATGATCAAACTAGTTGGATGTATGCTTGGAATATTAGAACAAAAAAAATTTCAAAGGGCCAGAAATGTTTCTTTTTGTAAAATTTAAAGTATATCAAGAAACTGGATGATGGTTATCACTTTAAAAAAAAGTTGAAATGCAAATGTATCAAAAATTTTTACACAGGAATAATTAATAGGTCATTCAGGATTACTGTGCGAGCAGAATATGTTATGAACTTCTAATATTTTGATTCTTTACAAAAGTTTGATACAAAGAAAATAAAAATAGATTTTATATCATTACCATCATGCAAAGAATACCTATCTCAAACACTCTGGTGCTATTGGTAAGTAGAACTGGTTGGCTTCTCCATGTTTATGTTTAAGGAATACACAATTTATACTATTGGTGTGATATGCTTTAGTTCTGAGGGGAACACTGTAGTGGTGCAAGAACCAGGGAGACTGATCTACCCTCTCAAGTCCCTTGATTTAGCTACTTTACTTCACTAGGTCCTGTAGCACCTCCACCAGAGGGCAGAAAGTGGAAAAGAAAGGAGATGAAATAGAAACTCACATGGCTTCAGCATGCCTGTAAGAAACCTTGGTGATTGAATCCAATCAATGCTTAGCTCATAAACTGAGTTAACTGTGGCCTAGAAAGACTGGGACTTGCTCACGTTGGAGATGACAGATGAATCTCCTAGGCTCTTGATTCTCAGGCAAGCACCCCTGTGGTGATAGTGCTTGATGAGGCAGAATCTCTATTAGGAAGAGCTCAATCCTGAAATCACACTGCCTCTGGGGAATCCCAGTTCAGCTACTTGCTAGCTGTATAATGTTAGGCTGGTTTCTGCTATTTCATCTCTAAAATAAAGGTAGTGATAGCACCTACTTCAAAGTGTTTGGTAGAAGTAAAATAAGTGAATGTAAGTAGAATGCATGCGAAGTGCTTAGGACATAGCCTGCCAAGTACTAAGAGCCTAATTTTTGTAAGTTATGATAAACTTGTTAGATACTGTATTCTGAATCTTATGTTAGAAAAGCGTGGGATCAGTGTTCCAACCGTCACATCTCATTTTAGGAACAAAATACCAGTTTCACCCCAAATTTTCTAATGCATATACCCTTTTCCCCCTAGAAATAATACTAAAGGAGCAGGTGCCTAATATATGTTGTTGACTAAACATGGCCTCCTTTAAATAATGAAAATAAGTTTAATAAATAACCTCATGAGTAATTTTTGAAATTTTCATAAGATCCTGGCTGAAAGTGGATAGTTATTTCTAAAAAAACTCAATGAAGTCTGTCTCCCTCCCGTTGTGAATATCTCCAGTGATCTCTTTGGTGCTGCCTTATAGGAAAACTGGTTGCTTGTTCATGACAGGCAGGATTTGTTGGTTTCTTGGTTCAGCCTCTGGATACTATGGCAAGAAATCCCATAGGTAGTTTATGAAGCAGGTTGGGGTTCTCCCGTGTCCCTGAGCCCTCAGCAAAGGCAGTTTCTTCACTAAACCTGTAACAAGGCAAATTTCCATTTGTATAATGCAAATAATAGTTGCTTTCCAAAGGTTACATCTTTTTTTAAGATAACAAGCTTGATATTGTCAGTGGATGCAGTTTTCTGATTTTTGCTTGACTACTTTCTGGCTAAAAGGAAGTGGTCTAGGATGTGATAAGAACATGGAGAAAAGTAACCCTTTTCCTCCCAACCACTCTGACATCCCAGACTTAATCACCATGTCCTTTTCTGCTGTCCTGGGGAGTGTAAGTTTTCCTGGGGAGATTAGCAGACCCTTGGCTTTCCCTCTGCCTCTGATGAATAACTTCTTTGAATGCAAGGGTGTGTGTAGTGGGGAGGGGGGTATATGGAGGATCTGTCATTAAGGGTTATTATGGGTAGGACCCAGAGTGAAGGGAGGGAGTGGTCCGCGGGTGGGATTTGTCGAACCGACAAAACATGGGACTCCTGTCCCTTGAAGTACAACTTGTCTCTTCCTGAGTAAGGAGAAAGGCATCTGTAGTGCCTCTCCCAGGGACACATAGAAGAGAGAAAAGCGATCAAGATAAGAGTGGACAGAGGAATAAGCGAGACATGTTCACGAAACGGTCCCCTGCCCTCGCTCTGGAAGAGCGCTACCGCCGAGCTGGGGTCCCAAAGCCGGTAGGATCCACGATCCACGCTCCTGCCGAAGAGAGGTCCGGTGGCCTTCGAGTCCAGGTGAATTCAGGGTCAACCCTTCCCGCCGCAGTCCCCTCCTTCCCCCGGGTACCACCTCCTTCCCCGGCCGTCGGTGAGCTCTGTCTTTCTCAGTGCTGCGCTCAGCGCCTTGCAGCTAGTACTGGGGCACGCGGACCACTTGCCTTGCCTCTGAGACTCTCCAGGGTCATGGGCAGGGTGTCCTTCAGCTTTCGAGTTGGCTCGGTCCGGAGATCCCGCTCTGCTTGCCAGGGGCTCTGCTACCTCTCCTACAGAGTCCCTCTTCCGCCAGGCGCCGGCGGCACATCCAGTGGACTCAGCCGCACACCGGCGCTTGGGGAGGCTGCCGGTGGAGCCGTCGGAACCAGCCCCTTTGGGATCCACGGCTTGCTCTCTGCACCCTCGTTTCAGGCATCCGGTAGCTGGAAGGACTGCGCAGCAGCCTTGCCTGCCCCAGACGTAAGCCTCCTCTCTGAATTGCGCGCGCCTAGGTGTCTGTCTCTTTTACAACCAGCACATGCGCACGGTTCCCTGGCGACCAGTGTGCCCCGGGATCATCCTGAGTGGCAACATCCCACAACGCCTCACTTTCGGAGTGCTGGAACTCCTGAGTTCCCTGCATACAAACTTTCTCTCCCGCGGGTACTCGCCTAGGCACATCCTGCGCTGGCCGCCGGGAGGCGTAGGTTCAAAGCTCTAGGATTTGCACGCTCACATCCTGTCTTGGGAAGGGACAACATTGCCCCAGGTTCGGGAAGGGAAATAAAAAGAAGGGCACTACGGATGCTGCCCACTGGCCTGAACCTCCAGGAACTAAGCCTAATTTACAACACCCATTCTTTGGCGTCAATAGGGCCCCATAATCCGCTCGCTACTGTTAGACTCCCAGCTGCGCAGAGTCCGGACGGGTGTCTCTTCCCGCAGACACCTCGGGCTGGGCGAGCGGGGGAGGGGTGGTGTCCTGTAGGATCCTACTGGAACTCAGTCCCTCAGCGTCGCCGCGGGCGCCCCTGTCCTGGTGTCATACTCTTGAGGCCGGTGGATGGCAGTGCAGGCGCTTTTTGCACGACTTCCCATGGACTTGGGCGGGGAGTTTGGGAGGGGACGCTGTCCCAGCAATTCAAAAAGTGGAGAGTTTTCCTTTTGCAGGAAACTTGTGAATACAATGCGCTGCAAAAACCAACTTCTGTACAAGACTTCAACAACTTCTATATGCATATTTGTGGTTTATAGTTTTTATTTCATTTAAAAAATTTGGAGTAATTTTCTGATGGAAGCAAAACTCTGCGAAACAACCTAAGACCTCTGCCAAAAAGGGAATGAAGAGGACTCATGGGTGATTGTTGTCTATTTTAGTAGAAAGTTTTGAAATTAAAGTGCTGGAACTCCTGGGTTCCAGGAGTAATGTTTTAATGCTATAAACATTAATTTTGGACTAACACAAGAGAATGAAAAGACACCATGCTTTTTCACCCCTTGGTCACAGTGTCATTATCACCAACATTCACCTGTTTGTTTGCATTTAGTAGGATCCCAATAGTTTTACTGTGTGAGAATGGGTACAAAATCAGTCCCCTAAATCAGTTTCCTGGATTTTTGAAATTTAGACTAGGTGTCTGTGTAGATATGTGAGAGAGGTCATGTGAGCAGTTAGGTTTTCCACAGACTCCTACCCAGGATACTAAAGGTTTCACTAGGATGAACTATTTTAAAAGTTATTCCATTTTTGTGGAATCACATAAATCTCAAAACCACAATATACTGTAAAGCTTTTTTTCAGGGGGTAGAGAGCTCTTTCCTGAAAGTTCCTTGCCAGGATAGGATGAGACAGACAGGAAGTTGGGGAAGGAGTTGAGCAGCCCCCTGTCTCCAGAGGGGTAACACAGTCCCTTTCTACAACCTGTAGTTTCAAATCTCACTGGTAATGAAGTGTCTTGTTCCTCATTTTTCCTCTTGCCTTCACCTCCAGCCTCCTTAAATACAAAGATATGTGCCCTTAGGATTTCTGCATGTCTCTAAAGCCCATGTAATGAGAGCTCCCTGGGAACCAGGAGAGCTGTAACACCAAATCTTGCTGAGTATTTCCAAGGGAGGAAGGTTTATTTAACCTGCCACTTCTACCCTACTAAGTTATTTAGCAAGAAGGAATTCATGCCTCCTCTGCCCCATCACTGTTTCTGACATTCCGCTTTACCTGACCAGATGGAAAACGGTACAGTTTGACTAAAGGATACTGGTTTGTACAGCTCACTAGATCCACACTAAGCATTCAAGTAGCCCCAGACCTGCTTGTTTCTCAGAATACACACACACACACACACACACACACACACACACACACAATTTTTGTAGTACTATTTAGAGAGGAGGGAAATGGAAGAAAATCTCAAGTGCACCATAGATGCTATGCCCTAGTAGGAAGAGTGCAGGCTTTGGTGTTAGACCTCTGGTTCTACTCCTTAAAATCTGAAAGGCTCTAGGCCACTCAAATAATCTTGTTGAGCCTCAGTTTCCTCCATCAGAAAGTAGGGATGATACTATTGATCACCTGTAAGGATACTGTGTGGATTAAAGATAAACATATGTACTGGAGGTATGTAATAGGTGTCCATTCTATATCCTTTCTGTGAAGGCTCTCTAATCTTTTTTTCCTACAATGACTTTATTGATGTATTCACAAATAAAAGACTGTATATATTTCATAAATACAACTTGATGAGTTTGGAATATGTATATGTCTGTGAAGTCATTGCCAAAAACATTCGTCACTCCCAAAAGATTACTTCTGCTCCCTTTTTATTGTTATTATTAGGTATATACACACTTAGCAGAAGATCTATTCTCTTGTAAAATTTTAATTATACAGTAAACTACAGGTAGGTCTGCTAGGTAATAGATCTCTAGGACTCATTCATCTTGCATTACCAAACTTTTACATTCATTTTCCAGTGTCTTCCCCTTTCCCACTTCCCCAGGCAACTGCCATTCTACTCTCTGTTTATATGGATTTGACTCAGATTTCTTGTATTAGTGAGATCATGCAGTATTTGTCCTTCTGTGTCTGGTTTATTTCATTTAGCATAATGGCTCCCAGATTCAACCACCTTGTTGGGAATGGCAGATTTCCTTCTTTTTTTTTTTAAGGCTTAGTAATTACATTGTATGTGTATACCATATTTTCTTCATCCATCCATCAAAGAGCATTTAGGCTGCTTCCATGTCTTGGCTATTGTGAATAATGCTGTAATGAAGAAGGGAATGCAAACATTTCTTCAAGGTCCTACTTTTAACTCCTTTGGTTATATATCCAGAAGTGGGATTGCTGGATCATATAAAAGTAGTCCTATTTTTAAATTTTTTTTGGCTGGAGATTGAACTTAGGGGCACTTTACCACTGAGCCACATCCCCAACTCTTTTTATATTTATTTTGAGACAGGGTCTCACTAAATTGCTTAGGGCCTTGCTAAGTTGCCCAGGCTGTCTTCATACTTGTGATCCTTCTGCTTTAGCCTCCTGAGTCACTGGGATTATAGACAGGAACCCCAGCACCCCAGCTTCATTGTGGTTTTTATTTTTATTTCCCTGATTGTTAGTGACACTGAGTAAATTTTCACATACCTGTTGTCCATTTGTCTGATTTCATTGGGAAAATGTGTATCCAGGCTTTTTACCCATTTTAAAATTATTTATTTATTTGTTTATTTTCGCTATTGAGTTATAGGGTTTCCTTATAGATTTTGGAAATTAGCCCTTTTTCAGATATATGATCTGTAAATATTTACTCCCAGTCTCTAGCTGACTTTTTGTTTTGTTGGTTGTTTCCTCTGCAGTGCAGAAGCTTTTTAGTTTGAGTTTGTTTTACTTGTCCATTTTTGCTTTTGTTGCTCATGGTTTTGGTGTTATATCCAAGAAATTATTGCAACTGCCAATGCCAGAAAGATTTTCCTCTGTTTACTTCCATGAGTTTTATGGTTTCAGATCTTAATCTTCAAGTCCTTAATCTACTTTTTATTTGGGTTCTGTGAATGATGTGAGATAAAGGTTCAATTTTATTCTATTGCATGGGGCTATTCAGTTTTTCCAATACCATCTGTTGAAGAAACTATCTTTTCCCCTTGTGTATTCTGAGCACTCCTCTCAAAGATCAGATGGATATGGAGATATCTATCTATCTATCTATCTATCTATCTATCTATATATCTGCCTGCCTGGTTTTATTTTCAGGCTCTCTATTCTGTTCCATTAGTTCATATGTCTGTCTTTATGCCAGTACTAGATTTTTTGATTACTGTTGCTTTGTAATATATTTTGAAATTATATGATGTGATGCCTCCCGTTTTTTTTTTTTTTTTTTTTTTTTTGATCAAAATGGCTTTGGCTATTTGGTCCCTAACCTGTTTTTATTTGAGGAGCTGTTCCCATCTCAGATTCAGTGAGGAGACTTCCCAGACCTTTTTTTCCATAATCAGATTCCTGTGATTCTAAACCTTTTCTATATAATAAAGGAGCTGCCAGGCACATGTGGTTATGTAAATTTACATTAATCAAATTAAATCAAATTAAAAATTCAGTTCTCTGTCTCCCTGAGCACATTTCAGGTGGTCAGTAATCACATTTGGCCAGCGGTTACTGTATAGGACAGCACAGATAGAATAGCCCCTTCATTGAATGAGCTTTCTTTTTTAATGAGACTCTAGGGTAATTAAAAGTTTCCTGTCCAGCACTTCTCTTTGCTTCTTTTTCTATTAAGGAGTGGTTTTGCATAGCAGAATCATTTCTGTTTTGTTGAGGATTTTTACACCGTGGCAGTATTTGCTGACTAGATTAATTAATAAATCAGCCAACAAGTATGGGTTAATCACAGAATCCTTTGAAATACTCTTCTTAGGGCTTTGATGAGTTTTGCTGATGGTTTGCTTTTTTCCATTCCCAATGAGCTTTATAATTGATGGTTTTCCAGGTTTCAGAGCAGAAACTCTGATATAATAGAGGGAAAAATCACTTCTCCCCATATATACCCTTATGGCTTGTAACGATTTTTATAAGAATGAGAGTGCTAGAATACTAAGTTCATACTTCGAGTTAAATCCACTAAAAGTGTTAAATTTATTCAGATTTAAAACCTAATATTCCACCGCACTCTGTAGGACCTCTTCCTAAATTGAACACCATTTGACAAACTATATATTTTGCTTCTTTATTTGGACTGTTTTCTCTGTCTTCCTATGTAATATAAGTCCCTAAGGGCAGAGATTTTTCAATATTTTTGTTCATTGCTAGACGAGTGCCTGACATACTGTTGGTTCCTATTAACTGTGAATAATGACTATATAGAGATATATTTGGAACTAGTTAAGATATATAGATGCTGTATTAATTTCCTAGGGCTGCTGTAACAAATGACCATGAAATGAGTGGCTTCAAACCACAGAAATTTGTTTGTTGTCAGTTTTGGAGA